TAGAAATATAAAATGGATAGTAAATAAGTACGTACACATATATTTAACACTGGTAGGCTTTAAAACTTCAAAAATATATATGTATATTTTTGTAAATTAATATCTTAAATGATAATATGAAAAAATATACATTAATTAATATGATAAATTGTTTTTTAATAAAAAATATGAAAAAGTTACAAAATACAGCATAATTTTCAAATTCTTCCCGAGATTGGTTTGAAAAACATTGATCCTTTAGAAATCAGTAGAAGTTACTTACAAAAAATAAATGTACTATATATGTATGTAATTTGTTTAGATGCGATATGCCTAGCAACTATTTTCATGCATACATATGTACGTACATTTACATAAAAACGTGAGTGTGAAAATTCATAAAGGCCTTTAATGCTAAAATATTTTAAGCATTCTCTAAGAGAACTCGAGTTTTACTATAAATGTGATAAATGATAACAATGTGATGAGTAACAACAGCAATATCGGTTTGACTACTGGGATGATACACTGCACTCGCAAGTAAATCTCCTAAAAATTGGATAAGGATAATGAACCAAAAACAAAACACCTGCCTCTTGAACAAATTCAGCATTCTAACAAAGTAAATCGATCTCAGTTTGTGGATAACTGTGTTAACCTATTTGTCCTTTGCGATCACGTAAAGAATATCCGATTTGAAATTTAAAGTTCTGCTATCTTTATATAGTGCGGGTATACCATAATATTATGGTATATAGTGCGGGTATACCGTATTAATATGGTGTCAGCGGTGCTATTGTACTAAAACAATGGTAGCTTATATTTTAACTCTTTCATTTACATACCAACATATGTACATATTCATTTAATTTTGTTTTATTTCATTTAGTTTTCATAGACATTTAACATTCATTGTCAGTCTTCATTAAAATTGCAAAGCGTTCAACTGCTGACAATAACAGCAACAACACACCAATCATACCGACAACAATGCCAGCAACTATCAACAGTCGCTGACGGCTACGACAAATGCCTGCAATGTTTACTCAACAATTGGCGCTCACTCCGTCGCTCGGTTGCCGGCAGTTTCTTAACCGTTCCAGGGGATTGGTGCGTTGGTATGCAGAGCTATTCCGCTTGAGGTAGAAAAAAATCGTAAACTTATTTTTAACTCACATGTATTCAAACAGATCTATGCGAAAAGTTCAAGTAAACAAAGCAAACAAAGTTTTGAAAAACATTCGCAGGATGTTGATAATGAAGTGTGTGAAATTGTCGTACAACGCAAATGTGATTTGCATGCAGAAATTACGCAGTTGTTTCTTAGCTACGGCTTAAAGACAACAAATTGCAAGTCTAATGCGAAAATTTTCAAGGACTCCAACGTTCTGACTCTAAACCAGCAACGCAAGAGTTGAAAATACAAAATATAATATTTACATATATTCGTATAATTGTATTCACTAATCCACTGAGCAGCACTAGTTTCTTAAGCACAAAACACGTACATACCTTTTTTCCATAAGAGATGAGGCTATATAGTCGGCGCCAACTTTTCAACCGCATCAGAAATACTCCTCAAAAAAATACACAGTTCTCCAGCGTTTTTAACAGGAGCTATTTATTTTAGTTATACGCATCTTTATCCAACTGCAATAATTGCTTCGAGATCTACGAGTCCAGATTTGTTTTGTTGATTTCTTGAGGCTATGTGGACCCTCATGCAAGCAAGTGTGGTTAGAATCGTTCTAGCGAATTCGAAATAATGAACTAAAATAATGAAATGCTTAGAAATAATGAAATGATGAAAACAATGTATACCTTCCATCTGTTCAGTTTCGGCAAGCTAGTAATGCATCCCGCAGTGCAAATAAAGTTTCTAAATCCATTTTTCAAATTTGTCCACATTTTATATAAACTTTTTAAAGAATGAAAACAATTAAAATAAACTGTCATAATTTAACGCTTTTTCACTTCCTTTTGTCATTTGTTTGTTGAGTGTTACCAACTAAAATTTTTTGTTTTTAGTTTTATTTAAAAAATAATTAATATTTCAAAGTACTATTACTTAAACCTTCATTTATACTTTCGTCTGAAACAAATAACAATATTAACCAACATAAAAAAGTCATCAAATCATAACCTCAAACTATGTAAGGCAAATATAGACTTGTACTTGTATATGTATGTACATGTATGTATACACAAATATTTATGTACGTTTGCAAATTTACAATGCGACTAAAGGCCAGACAGGTTTAATTAAAGATTTGCCGTTCTTGCTTGCCACAGTAGTTGCAAGTTAGTTCACACGGCACAATCACACATAACAAGTGTTTGCAATTATACAAATTTATCTTTGAATTAAACGAATCAAATTTGTTTGGAAAGAATAAAAACAATAAGTTATAACAGTAACAAGCAGGAAGTGAATGCGGAAATTCAATTCAATGACTCATCTCTTCATGCATATTGTTGTTTTTGACAGCAATGAGAACAGAGAAAATTCACGAATGTTATTGACACTTCGACAACAAACTAGTTGACATATTGCTCACAAGTGCATACATGCACATACTAATAATAAAAAGAATTCGCAAACAACAAGGGGCTGCGCTAGGGCTTATCGGTCTATGACAAACAAACGTCTCGCGATAAACGAATAAAGTGCTGCAGGATAAACAGCCAAATAAATGGACAGACAAACAGCTCATAGTGTATGTTTTTATGTGTATATGTGAGGCATACAAATGCCGTGGAAGACACATAAAAGGCCAAAAGGATGAAACTTGCCACAAACACTTCGTTGTTTGTAACAGTTAGATAAAATCATGTCAAAACACGTTTACATACATACGTACATTAAGGTGGTACTTATGCAAAAGGATGTTTTTTTCCTTGTTTGTAACACATAGACAAATTCATGTCAAAACATGTTTATATGTGTGTTCTCTCTGTAAAGGTGTAACTTTGTAAATAACATGAGATATGTTTAGAAATTTATCAAGTTTCGAGATAAAGTTTAAAAAATCCTGGTGGTGCTATATTCAAAAAAATTTTCTTCTCTTTCCATATAATTTATAATATTTTTATTTTCATTCAAGAGTTATTTATGTATGTCCATGCTTACAAATCTACTCCATTTCTTGCATATACATATATGTATGTATGTATGTGTATGTATGTACATTAAAAAGTTCATTTGTATTTCAAGTAGTGTGCTATCCAAACGCATACACGCTCTCGACAATTGACAGCGATGTGACATATCGATTTCTCTTAAAATGGCCAATTTGATCAGTCACATAAAATGTAACTATTTTTCAAGCATCCTCTTTCAATAGACAAGTGACATTTCAGTCTACTGCTCATTTATGTGTTCGTTCACATACACAACTATACAGGCATACATAGTATTCGCTCCAGCGAATTCTTGGATAGGAAAACACTGTTAAGCAACTAGTCTACATACAAATTTGTATATGTACATGTATAAATGTATATACTTAGAAATGAACACTTCAGCCAATTTGAAAAATAAATTTACTAGTTATCTTTAGATTTTTCACTGAATTATTTAAATAATTCGCAACCATAAGTATTGGGAATGTGGCGTTACCTTAACTTTTCTTCTAACTACAATTTGAGAGAAAAAAATTCTTTAAACTCGAAGGCATTTGAAAAGACACCTGCCTCAGCACCGGAAACTGGCTAATGCATTCCAAGCGCTTATGGCAGCATGCAGAATACGATACTTCAAACCTAACCCAAATACATAATACTAATTCGCAATAATACGTTCATTGGACTTACGTGTTATTTTTTTCACAATATACATTTAAAATATTTATAAAACAACTTGAACTTAAATTGTTGTGAACCAACATCAACAGTTTCCGCCATTTCCGTTTTTTCAATTTCCTTTTCGTTTCAATTTTATTTTTGTTAGTGCTAACGCGCTGTTAATGCTGCGCGACGTAAGAAAACTCGTAACTAACGTCAGAATCATATGTTTTGCCGACGAATGTCAAATAGGACTTTAATAAATAAATTCGAGCCTATTTGTGTAGTGTACATTTTCAAGTGCAGCAACTTAATTATTTATAAAATAGCGCCAAAATGGTTAAGAAAATTCTTATGATCTGCTTAGGCAAGTGTTTAATTTTTTTTACAATAATTATGTAATTTTAAAAAAATAATATCAATTTAGGTAATATTTGCCGATCGCCTATTGCCGAGGGTGTTATGATAGAAACAATCGAGAATGCCGGTGTCTCCGCTGATTGGAAAGTTGATTCAGCAGCCATAGGTGGTTGGCATGTTGGCAATCCTCCTGATCATCGTGCATTAAAGATAATGAAGAATCATGGTATAAACTATAAGAATAAAGCACGCCAAATTAAAAAAGACGATTTTCTACAATTTGACTACATTTTCGGAATGGATGAAGAGAATATGAGCGACCTGCGCAGGCTGGCACCAGCGAATGCGAAGGCAAAATTATTATTGTTGGGAGACTTTGGTTTGCAGAAAAGCGATCGTATTATCGAGGATCCTTACTATGTGAGTAGCAAACGTGCTTAACTCAGTCACTTGTACAACTGTATACATACTTATGTACAATTTACTTGCGTTGAATATGTAGCAAAGAGGTGATGCTGGCTTTGAGAAGGCTTACCAGCAGTGTGTTGTTGCTTGTGATGCGTTTTTGAAAGAAGCTGCTGCGGGCAAGGTTTGAGGAGAGGGTGGCAAGCATGCATTCCAGAATTACTTGTTAAATTAGTAAAAGTAAAATGTATAAGAAACATGTTGTGAAACGCAAAATCAGCTGATGTACATAAGTGATAAATTAAAAGAGGCACAAGTACATGAACAAACGTGAAATAAAAACATAAGTTTGAAGAAGAAAAACAAAAATCAACAAATTTTGCTTTTCTACCAAATTTATGTACTACAGAGGATGCATAGTGAAATTAAATTGTGTAAGGTAAGGCGATGTGTGTAACATAGTAATGGATTTGTTGCAGTGCTTCACTGCATTTTCATATTAAATCATTATTTACACTGTTAGCATGTCTTATTAGCCTTATGAACAATTAAAAAGTAACCTTTTATCAACAAATTTAAATATATTTTGATGATGAATACCCCACTGTAGCAACCGAATATTTCTATTTTTACACGTCAAATTTTAGTAAAAAAAAAAGCAGAGAGGATCAAAAATTGCAAAATTTCTTATGTAAGCTCTTGTATTTTGATGTAAATTAAATAAAGTAAATATGCTAGCAATTTTTTTTTACTAAAAACTAAATAATAACGCAATAAATAGATTTGAACTTGAAGTTTATTCAAGAGTCCAACAAATATGAAACCTCTAAAAATCCTATTCGTTTGCATTGGTAAGTATGTAGATAATGAAGAATTTTAAGAAATTGATAATCCATCATAAATATGTATGCAGGTAATACGTGCCGCTCACCAATGGCGGAAAGCGTAATGAAACACTGGCTGGAGGAGTATGATCTCAACTGGAAGGTGGACAGTGCTGGTTTGAGAACGTGGAATGTTGGACGTAAGCCGAATGAACGCTGTATTAAAGTACTAGAGGAGAATGGTTTAACAACGGATCATATCGGTAGACAAGTACGAACGCGCTCCATCTGAAGTTTTTATCATTTTGTTATAATAATTGGCATTCGTTGCACAGATTTCAACAATGGACTTTTATAATTATGACTACATACTTGCCATGGATGAACATAATTTGCAAGAGCTACAAACGCTTGCCAAAGACCCAAGTCAAGAAAGATGTGCAAAAATCGAGTTGCTCGGGAAGTACATTGACCGGACGGAAGACCAAATCATACGTGATCCATATTTTGTGAGTGCAAACTTTTAAAGAATTTGAAATGTTCAATAAAATAATCAAAATATTAACGAAATTTACAGTGCAACTCAATGGGTGGCTTCCGTTGCGCGTTTCTACAAATAACTGAAAGCTGTCGAAATTTCATAGCCGCACACATGTATACCGATTAGAACTACTAAGAAACCAAACAAACAAAAAATTAGAGCGTACTTAAAGTTGTGTAAAATGATACTCATAAATTTCATGTAAAAAATTGTAAATCGCACGTGCTATAATTTATTTCATAACAGTAAACAAAATATAAATATAAGTGTATCATGTTTATAACAATAACTATTTCAAACAACTTCACCACGTATAACACGGTCCAAAAAGACATTCCAATCATATTGTAACTGCGCATACGCAGCCTCTTTCTCTGCATCACCCATCGCAGAATATTTTATCGAATTCCATACCAAACTCTTCAATGTCTTCAAACCAGCATTGCTCGGCGCGAAACTCATAATCGCATAGTAGAAGTCATAGCTCAAACCTTTGGCATCCCAAAAGCCTGGATCATCATTTGTAATCACCATTGGTATATTATCGGACATAAAGTAGCCGCCGGGATGATTTCGTAAGTCCCAAACTAAGTTCAAAACCTGATTGGATAGCGGACTAACTTCCAGCGCAATATCACGCTCTTTAACAGCCTTACTGAGCAAAGGGTGTTTCATAAGTGAGTAACCATGACCAATGCGTGTGGTGTTGAGTAGTATGGCATCAACCAAATTCAAATCCACCGATGTACCTAACCAATCTGTGAAAATTAAAGCATGCTTATGTGATTTACTTGCTGTTTTTTCTATGAATGCTTACTTGTTTCGCCGGCATGAAAGAAATACTTAGCGCTTTTCGGTAGATCTTGTAAAATAGACACAAATGCCTGCAATGACTTGCCCTGGTCCTCCTGGCCGATCAGATCGAAACCAATAATGAAATCAGGATAGCGTTCACTGTAAAAAAGTTTACTTTTGATTAGTATAATGTTAGACACAAGAAAAGAGAGTTTTACAGCGACGCACTGGAAGTCTTTGAATGCTTGGAAAGCTTTGAATATTTGAATTTGGTCCGAACCGCGATGCGCCACATAAATAACTTTCAAACCGTAGAAACCGAGATGTGTTTGCTTAAATTCTTCCACTAGAGCCATAAGCAACTCGGCTGCTTCATATTCGTTTGCTACTATCGTGCCGTTGGCGCCATACAGCTGAAATAACAATGGAAATATATTGAAGTGCTAGTAAGGTAAGAAACTTAACACTTTATGAAGAATCGTTAGATATAATAATATTAATTTTAATTATAGCTGACTTAAAAATGAAACTTACTGGCTTAAATTTCATACGCAACTCTGCGTACATTATGTTATCCTCGTACATTTCCTCCATCAGCTGCCAGTGGAAGGTRCGAAAAACGGGTTCGTACCCAACCGTATCACTCACCGTGTCGAAAATGTCTTCAAAACGTCGCCACACCTTGTTTTGYTCGCTGAACTCAACTTCAAGTGGAATAAAAACATAACCTTAAAATGAAAATACCGAATTTTTAACGACTTACGTTCCGGCAATCGCGAATATAAGCTCAGCTTGGACTGCAAAAATCGATCATAGCGATTCTTCGACAATGTAAGCTTACGCTCCTCCTCTACCACGTAATATTTCGAGCGACATCCATGCTTCTGTGCATTCTCACGAAAACTGAGCACCACAGTACCGCGCGCCGTATGACATTTCAAGAGACCGGGCGTGTAAGTCAAGTTCTTAATCATCCAATCRCCGGAAACAGCCGGCGTGCGATGTACATGCAAAATAGCGCCTTTCGGCATGGCTTGAATGAATTTGAACACGTTACTCTGTTCGATGAGTGGCTTCGCTTTGAAGAAATGTAGCGCTGGCGCATGTTCATGCGGGTGTTTCATGCCATAGGTGAGCTCCATCAGCTTGTGACGCATGAAAATCTGATGTACTTGCAACTCATTTTCGTCGAGCTGCAAATGCCCACCGGTAAGTAGCAATTGCTCTGCCTCGATCATTTTTTCACGCTGCTGTGCATATTCTGCGTGGTCGAAAAAATGTATGTATTTTATGTATAAGTTATGTATATGTTTGTACACAAGTGTTTAAAATATTAAAAATTGCTTGAATTACAGTGGCTCTCAAAGTATTATCTGTTATTGTTTGAAATGTAAATCATTCTATGCACACATACATACAGACACACATATTATTTTTAATTTGYAATYTAAAATTGAATATGGTTTGGTACTCACTTAATGTGTTCGGCTCGTCGTATAGCCGATCGGCCGGCAGTGGCTTCTCATACAAAATGCCACTCACCTCAGRCTGTGGCGCCACTATCTCTTGTGGCGGAGTTGCAACGCGCGCATCTAAATTTTATTTTTTTCGGTAAAAKTATTTAACAATTAATTATATAGTATGTCATCTAATTACCGCAGAGTAGAGAAATATGTAACAGCAGCGGTACATAGAATARAACAGCTAAGGTCCAGGTACGCATTTTGAGATCAGACTAAAAGCGAAAATTGGTAATATAAAATTTAAAACATATATTTCGAAAAAACAAATATTGTTTTTAAATACATTACTAAATTCATAATTATAACAAATTTCATTTTGAAGAAAAAAATGTTATTTAATAATCCATAAGCCAATAATGGATAAGATGGCCAATAATTTTATCTAAGCAGAACAAACAAAAACATTATCTGCGAATATTACTAATCTATGTAGGTCTACGAATAGTCTAAGTGCCCGTCATCAGCAAAAAATTCAATGTAATCSAAAGCTGAAAATATCAATAAGAAGCAATTACAGACGCATATGACCTTTCTGGATATAACTGGAGAGAATTAATCTCAAGGTTAAAAAATTTATAATTTTGTTGAATAATTCTAGAATTCAAATAAAAAATAGAAAATGGGCATGTGTGTACGTGCGTGTGTGTGTGCATATAAGTGTTCCTGTGTAACATATAACCTTGACTAATAGCGAACTCATGTAAAAGGTTAATTGAGCCCTGTGTCCTAAATATTCGCACTCGGCTTAGAAACTGGTTAATACAGAATATTAAAAGTATAACATATAGGTTAACACAAATATTAATTACACATATTACATATTATGGTTCGCATTTGCATTAGACTTGCGCATCACCTAAGCACTCAATAGATGCTCATAATGTTTAAACAAAAAACAAGAATAAAAAGAAGAAAAAGATCAGAACAAGACTCAGCGGTCACTCAACTTCAATGAATAGACGCATTTAATATTATTTTTTCTTTTATTTCTTTATTTTTAATAACGTACGAGTATTCGGAATTGTTTTGGAAATAATGATTTAATTTAGCGTAAACGTAAGCATTTTTTGAAACAGGTCGGCAAAATAAACAAACTAGTCAAAGTAGATGAGTGCGTCAATGAATCGTGTTTTGCTACGAATAAAAATAAATAATTAATTTTGAAAAATAAATCAAGTGAATTCATAAATTTGTCTAATATCAATTTGTATCGTATAATTATACTTCTTGCACCCCGTTCAGGCTAGATCAATAGATAATAAATTTATTGATGCTTGTTTGAATACCTCCCTACCTTTTGTAGGACATTATTTAATATTTTTTTATAATAACATAAAAATTAAAATAAATTTCTTTATTTTTACTACCAACATATCGTATGATATAAAATCATATCACATATAAGATGCTCAATGGCAGTTTATAAATATCGCTGCGTTTTAAATGCAAGAAATCCTCATCCTTAKAGATAGTGGTCAAAGAATGTCACGTAATGTGATATTGAGAAAAGACGCGAGTATTAAAACCTTTCACTTCCAACAATGAAATCACAACACGTCACATCACCTTATGATATATCACATCACATCTATAAGGTATCAAATTTCATCACATCTTATCACAATAGATATATGCACTCTTCATTCTTATGGAGAATCTGAGATCACATCTTTCCATCTTTCATCATTTCAATCTGCAACCGCATAATKTATAATATATAATATACTGTTCGCATTACATTACGTCATACCGTTTCACATCACGTTGCATAATAGCATTACATCATATTTACAAATAGTCATACCATTTACATCTATGAGAATTCACATCACCTTATACCATTTCACATCACATCTATGTGTCATGCATCATATAATTCCAGAACTATGAAAAAATCCATCACATGACATTTCTCATTCAATTCTTAAGTCAAGACACATCATWACTATGGAAAATCACATAAAAATCACATACCATGTCACGTCTGATGTCATCCGCAAGTCACATCATAAATATGAACAACTATGTAAGTTTTCACATCACATTCTCTAAAGTGAAGCCAAATCAAATAATATCATCATACCACTTATACATCACATCGCATTCTACTCATCACATCACGTCACATGATGATCASTACTTATTAACAAGCCTGCAAATTTGACATTTACACCACAGCGTATTTTTTTGTTAATTCTCACTATTTTTCTTTTTCTCTAGAATAATTCTTCTTTCTTGCATTTTTTTTTAATATGGAAAGGAGAGGTTTTAGTAAAACTTTTTTCAGAACATTTGCATATAATTTGAGGGCATTGTACTTATTTTAAGCAAAAGTTCAAGTGCAAATGTTTCTGGCGAATAGAATAATATATGTATATGCATAYATTAAAGACACATTAAGCTTCTTATTTAATTATTTACGCAACGCAATAGCGAAATTTTTTGTTGTTGCAAAATTTAAACATTTTGATATACATACATACATATGTACATATTGATGAACTTGAAAAAAAAAATGTATACAAAAAATCTAAACAATTCTTTATGAAATTACAAAATTATAAAAATGCAATAAATTTTTGTATATTTATTACCACATAGTGACAGTAWTGGCAGTGATGTGTTTAATCAATTTTAATTATTTTATAGTGTTGAATTTACTTTTAATGGCAACTAAATGGGGATTCACAAGGTGCATATCAAAAATTGTTGATTCAAAGATAAAATATTAATTTTGTTTGTATTTGATGCCTTAAAAATSTATAATAACGTTAAAAAATTAAGAAATATATATTTTTTTTTACTATTTACTAAACTCACAATATTGTTTTGAAAAACAGATTAAAATGCAAATGTGTATAATTAGTCCAAATATAGTTTAAATGTATAAAATAGTTTAAATGGACATGCGTAAAAATAAACAGTACAATTAAAAAGTACAGTTTCCGGTTTTACGGAGTTCATTTGAAAAATTTCCCTAGAATATCACAAAAATAATAGCTAAAATATAAAAATTAATAAAAGTAAACTTGAAAAGAACAACGCGCCATTGTTTTAAATCAAAACTCAATTCAACTTTTCAATTCAATTA